CTTTTTACAGTTTACGGGAATTCGTAATTTGCTGCATTTACAGAAAGGATGTACGTTTTAGGCTCTACTGAAGTTCTCGCGCAGAGGCCTGAGTGCAGTCGCTTCAACACAAAACTTCATATTAGCATAGAAGATCGCAACGAAATGGTGGATCTCGTTTCACTTCAAGTTATTTGTTTAGAATTTTACACGAATAGGTTATTGTCTATGAACTAACGTATTAGCTGTACTTGATGTCCGATGAGTCTAGAAAAATCGGAAATATTTGTCGAATACGTTAAAAAAGTCGGTCAATGATAAATGCATCTCTTGTTTTTGCTTTTACTGCTTTTTTTGGCTTCCATATTTTGTTGAAGAGATATATCTCAACACTCTGATACACGTCCGGCAATAAAAAATACATTTTTCTAAAAATGTTTCTTAGTAGCTTGGCTGTACATAAGTTGCCGACATTCTGAAGTTTGACAGAATCCGACTCAGAGTATGAATCAGTGATTGAAAATGCACTTTTAGAAAATTACCGAGGCCAATAATGGCCTTAAATGTAAGTAAAAAAAAACATGAAGTGCGTCTACTACATAACTATGCTCAATGGATGTTTAGTCTAGTCAACGGCTCAAATGTTGTTTAACAGAAGTTCCAGCTAAAAGCGTTCACATCGAGCTACTCCAATATTTGAAGTGCCTTTTAAATATGACACGTAGTAGTGCCTGTTAAAGAAGTTGTAGAGGAAACTTGAAATAAGCAAACTGATTTTTTGAGTCACTTTGGAGCTATAGAGCCTAACTATTGGGTTGTCGCATAGGTTTGTGCCGTTTTCCAAACCCAAAAATGTTCTGACTAAGAAACTGGAGATTTGGCAGCACAGTAAACATTCGTAGGAGTCACCTTCTAAGAAATAGTATATTTAGGTTGCAATGACTCTGTTTTGTTGAAAGAATTGGTTGATAATGTTTTCGATAGGGTATAAAAAACTCGTCCGACAGCTAAATCCTTCTGGATTGTAAGGAATCTGCAATTTGCAACAACGCTACATGTGAGGTAATTGGCTGTGCTACGATTTTGTAGCTGTTTTCCTGTTAGGACCTTTTCATAGAATTAAAGTAGGGCTGCGATGCAAGGTCAAATTTACAGATGTACGTGAAAAATGGTCTACTGGAATTAGTTGACATGCCGACTAAAAAATCATAGCACTAGCCCATAATCGCTTGCCGGGAGGCATGGAATTATCCATGTTTTCTTTATCCAGTAATTCAATGCTTTGACCTTACCATATACCCACCCTAATGCTACAGTGAAGGCTTATTGTGCAATGTGGGTTTCATTTTATAACCAGCATGTCAGTTGGTCCCACTAGACCACTTTCTAAAAAAATCCGCGATTTTGAACAGTGTAGCATATACCTACCGTAATCCTATGACATAGCTCTATTATGAAGAACGTATATGATTTTTTTAATCAGCATACTTATTCCACAAGGTAGCATTATAGCAAATTGTAATTTGCATTCCAAAAAAGTTAACTGTCTGGGCTTCTTTTCCGTCCTA